AAAAGCTAGGTGCAATCGGAGAGTTAGAGCAACATTCAATCCAAGGTAAGGGTGGGGTTCTGACTCTACAATAGGGTATGTGATAAATGGTATGTGGGATTGAGTTGTAAAATTATTTCTGTTTGTGTTTTAAATTGATATATTGTTGAAATTGAGAGATGATTGAGAACCTGATTTAATATATATTGATACTGTTGCAGTATTCTATGAGTAAATCACTATTTGATAAAATATACCAATATAGCCTATACTGTAGCGTCAATTTTATATGCGTCAATTTTATGTTCCTTAGTTATTATATATACATATATTGATATATAGGTAGATAACTTTGTTAGGAGAACTATATACATACTGTAGCGTGGACCTTAAATGGGAGATAATGTAGCGACACTTCCTCTACTGTATCGTCACGTGTGTTTATGATATAAAGTGATACGTATGGATATATTGCTTCATATGTTAGTTTGTTAGAATATAATAAGTATAATGATATGTATAAGACTTCATTATGATAAGGGTGGACATCGGTCGGTTTGGACTGGATTTGGGCCCAATATGTCAAACCATGTAAAACCATGGATTCAAATATTAGGCCCAATTCCGACCAAAATTGTAATCGGTTTGATCGGATTCGGTTTAATCGGTTTATCGGTTAAAATGGATCGGTTTGTTCGGTTAATTAATATTAAATTGTCATAAAAAATTCAATTATATCTTAATTTTTTTAATTAAAAGAATATTAAATAATAAATATAAAGCAATAATAAAAATAATAAATGACCCAATTTAACACTATTTTACATTCTAATTTACACTGTCTTCCAAATAAACTATTATCAAATTGTAATTTCCAAATAAACTATGATCAAATATTATATCAAAATAATACATTCAATTTTGGACATAAAGTCTATAAGGTAGTTTTTGTAGATGCCAACATTAAAAGAAAGCTTAAAATACACTATGAATACTTAAATTACATTCATCCTTCATATATAAATTAACATTAAAAGCCAACATGATGACACAACCAACACTAATTATAATTTTTGTTCACCATCATATTTCCAGCACTTAAACACCCACTATAAGCTGCAAGAGAAGAGAAGTGTTCCACTATAAGCTGCAAGAGAAGAGAAGTGTTCCACTGTAAGCTGCAAGAGAAGAGAAGTGTTATTTTAGAAATAATATATTTCAAAGCTTTTGCTTCTAAACAAAATTATGCATGACCTTTCAAGTAAATTTTTTGCATACCAGAATGGGAGCTGTTGTTCCAAGGATGGAGCAATGAACTCTAGCTGTTCGGTGCCTGAATCTGCCAAAATACTCAAACCCTTGGAAAAATGAAGACAAAAAGGAATTAGAAACTTTAACAAAGGATCTCAACTATCCGCAACAAATACAACCAGAGTAAGGAATATAAAACTAGTATATAAAAGTGAAAATCAGTTAATTTAATCAAAACTTCTTCAGTAGTAGTACTAACACAGACAGTCTTTGAACTAAAACAGGCATGTGAATGATCATTAAAAAATTTACTAGCCAAAATCCATGCCTAAAATACAAACATGGAGATGAATACTATTTTTTCTCCTGATAAAATAAGAAAATAACAATTGAACTCAATACTCAATGAGAAAAGTCCTAAATTATTTTTTCATGTCTCGGAAAAAAACAAAAAAAAAACAATTAAAAGATAATTTGAAAAACACAGAAAAGAACTTCTTGAGGGTTGCATATAAACATGATCTTTTGCTTTGTTTTCTACTCGACTACAGAAGAAGGTCATATATAAAAAGCCTTCTTTTAAAAACTCATCCAAACAAGCCACAGAATACCAGCTCTGGTGTCATTAAGCTAATCAAAATTTCATATGAAAGGCAACATGAAGTTTGAAAAATGGCTTGCAACCACAATATCCAAGCTTAAAAGTTAAGATCAAAGGGGTAAACCCATAAAAGCCACATCTCTATCGATAAAAAAAGGTGTAAACTGTAAACAATGACTTGTAGTCAACATCGAGACCTATAGACCATAAAAGCAATATCCTAAATCTTTTTCGTGTTGAGTAAGATTGAAATGCATGTGTAGAAACTTACCCCGATCCATCCAAGATTGTGTGCGCGTCCATGTGACAGGTTGATGATATTATAAGGAATTCCTGAAGGTGTGTTCCATGCAGGCAGTAAGAAGGCCACCCACTACTCTGGATTTTGGTGAAAATAGACCAACAAATAGAAAGAAAAAAAATCAGTTGTCAATACATAAGCTTATTATAATTTTTGGAATGGAAAAGACTTTAACTGCAATGTAAACCTTATAAAGTAACCTTATGGTTGTCTCAAAAACACTTGCGTCATAATCCTTGTTAAAATCCAGAGAGTTTGCGACCCACCTGTAAGGAATGACTTACGGTAAGAAGAAATGTAATAAAGCATAACCAGGATTATCACAATTGAACATTAGATAGACGACTATAGCAAGTAACTACAACAAATTTATGTAACTTTTACATATAAATTATGACAATTTGCAGTAATGAATAGTTAAATAGGATAGCAGATACATGTATCAGAATCTAATCTTACCAGTTAAACACCATAAGCATGAAGTGTTCCTCTAGAAGAACAAGAAAGAGAAAGAAAAATAGACAGCAAAATAAATTGAAATTTCTATTCTATAATGATTGGAACCATACATTTCACAAACAAAATTAAAACAAGGAGGAATCAAAGTGAAATGAATTCTCTCCCACTTTTATACATTAACTTTATTATATTTTGTGTGTGAAAAGTTTGAAATAATATTTCAAGGGTAAAGTAAAGTTACCTTTTAGAGAAGATATTACTGTTGCCAAGGAAGGAATCAGATTCTTCTCTCATGAGCTTTGAACATGAATGCTCATTCATTTCATCAACACATCCATCATCATGCTCTTCAAAACATTGGTTTCTATGTTGTGAACTAGTCCTACCTGATGAAGAGAAATAATAGACATATATTACTTTGTTGAAACAAGTTCATGTATTATGTATATACCAATAGAAGAAAATTCACAAGGACAAGAGGTCTTAATATTCTTGACTTCTTGTTGCACTGATTTGGCATCAAGTAAATGCAAAAAGAGAGTAATAAATGAGGTTTGTTTGTAGTTTTGGATTTCCTGGTTTTGAATAAAGAAAGGTTTGTTTTAGAAGTTCAAATAGTTACTAAGAGAAGAAAGAACAATAGAATTGCATTGAATGCAGAAGAAACAAAGCATGCAGATATGGTATGACACGAAAGAGTTACCAAAATTAAAACAAGGAGGAATTAAAACAAAATGAATAAAGAGTTACCAAAAATTAACTCGCATCGATATCTTTTGTGACAATGTTTACATGCAGCTATTGGTTCAGGTTCATCCAGCAAAATGTTAAAGTCTAACCAAACGGTGGAAGTTTTCCTAGATCCACTAGCATTAACTAGTCTTTTTTTCCTAGAAGGGGGGAGAGGAGGAAGTGCAGTTTCTACTGCTTGTGTAGGTTCAACATAGGGAACAGGATGTTCCATCACTGAAAATATTTTGGTCAACAAAAACACTTAGTCCTATATAAATAATGTAAAACAGTTACTTACATCAACAATTTAAATGTTAGACTAAAAAAGATCATGTAAGACAAGACAATACCTGCAACTGCAAGACAAGACCATGCATCAGGATACTTAACATACACTAAAGGTTGACAATACCTGCAAGACAAGACCATGCATCAGGATACTACATAGATCAATGCAACTACTGTATTTTCTCAAAGGGAGAAAATGGCTACCATACTCAAGCAACATGCCTAATCTGTGAAAAAAGTTAAATAAAAAATGATGTAATCCAATCGACATTTAACATGTAAAATCTTTTCTATACCTTTAATACATTATAATGTAAAAATAAAAATGATTATATTTTATTAGCGACGAATTTAGCAACTAAATTCTAAATTTTTCCGTTACTAATTATATAAAAATGATTAAAATAAAATATTTTAAAAGAGCCCAATAAATATTTTGCCTTCATTTTAATAATATATCCAAACATAGCCAAATATTTCACTGATATTAAATGTGTATGGGAAAGACTTTGTATTTATAGTCATGTAATTACCACCCTATACTAACAGACACATGCCTCAAAAATAAAATATAAAACCGACAAACACATGCATTATTGACAAACTTCACAAAACCAGTTGAAAATGCAGCCAATGCATGATTGACTGTCATTAGGTGACATGAATTCCACATATAAATAAACTAGATTGATACAAAAACTAATATAATATAAATAGTGTGCAAGTTTAATCTAATATAAATTAAAACTAGATAGATACAAAAACTAGTGAAATCCAAAATTTAAACATGATAAGAAAAGTATTATCAATTTCACGTTTCACTCAATGAATAACAAGTATGTTGTTAGTATTACATTCTTATGCCACCAAGAGAAATAAGAGCATTACAGTCTAATAGTATTTTAACCTACAACAATATATAGCATCAAGTAGCATTGAAGGAATTCTAGAGACGAAAACTGTAGGTTCAGAAAGCTTCACGTACGTGCACTATAATTTACAAGAAGGAAATAACACTAAAATCATTTACAAAAATTAATGTATGAACAACGAATCAGCACTACCAAGGAGCTACCTAAAAGTAACATAGTAGTCAATATCTAGTAAATGGATGTTCTATTGGTCACAATTCTCCTTTCCCCTTGCACCTTAAGTGAATTTAAGCACCCAAGAAGAACTTAGATTTAAGGAAAATCCAAGTATCCTCTTAAACAACAGAATCACTTCTGAAATCTGATTTTGACAATCCAATCATACCTATTATTTTACTATGCCACTATGACCTAATACAACTCCCTCTTTTAACTGCAGGGATATGGGATCCTAACAGTTCAAGCGCGTTACCAACAATTAAGACCAATACCCTACAAAGATATAAGACCAATTCATATGAACCAATGCAAGCCAGCTGCTGGAAGTCAAGCTGTTATACTTTATACAGGACTATATCTTGTTGCATTAGGAACAAGTGGTATTAAAGCGGCGTTACCAGCCTTAGGAGCTGATCAATTCGATGATAAAGATCCAAAGGAAGCATCTCAATTATCAAGTTTTTTTAACTGGTTTTTGTTTAGTCTTACAACAGGAGCAATAGTTGGTGTTACTATCATTGTTTGGATTAGTACTAATCAAGGATGGTATTTGAGTTTTACTGTCTGCACTATTGCAGTCTTGTTCTCAATTCTGTCTATTTGCATGGGAAAATCATTATACAGAAATAATATTCCTAAGGGAAGTCCTCTAATTAGAATCATGCAGGTGAATAACTTTTGTCTTTCTTTTTATATGCTTCAAATTGCTATTGTATTAATTGGACTTGTTGAACTTTCAGGTGTTTGTGGCATCTTTCAAAAACAGAAAACTCCAAATTCCAGAAAATGAAGATGAAATGCATGAGATTCATGAAAAAGAAAGAGGAGAAAATTATGAAATACTTACAAGGACAGAACAATTCAGGTTATAGATACGTTCAAATAAGTCAATCTAAACACTGCGGTAGATAAACTTTGATAAGTACTAATTTGTTTATTTCTTTTGTGGAAAAATGGATTATCAGATTCTTGGATAGAGCAGCAATTGGTAAAAACAGTACAGGATCACGGAACTATAGAAGAAAATATACTCTTTGGAAGTATAAAAGACAAAGCAAAAGCTATAGTAACACTTTTAGATCAGAGTGTAGGATCATGCCTCGTATTAGCATTTGGGTATACTTTGCTCCAGGATCTATTCAGCTGGAGAAACATAATGGGTATTTTGTTAGCCATGGTTGGGATGATTCTATATTCTTACTATTGTAAAATGTACTGGACATGTATCAGACAGATGACTGTAAAATTTCTGCAGTGTTTGGTACTTAACTCTGTCCAAAACCTATTGGAATATTGCTTTTTTCTTAACCTTCTTCCCAATACTTACCACTTTCATTCACACTACCCTTTCTAAGGTATAATTAATTAACTTACATGAGTCTTGAGAATAAGCAAAAAGCCATTGAACCTGATGCACTAGGGTTAAAACAGGGGTGGATCGATCGGTTTGTGTTCTACTTTCTATAGGGTTAAAACATGATACAGGGAGAAGGAGAAGCCATTGAAACAGGGGTTAAAACCTGGATCGGTCGGTTTGTGTTCTGCTAAGTTAGAGACACACAAAGAGAGGTAGATAGAGAAAGAGAGAAAGAGGGAGAAGGAGAAAGAGATAAAGAGAGAGAAGGAGAAAGAGAACGAAAAATAACTTACTTGATCGCTGGTGGTTCGTGGTGGCCGGCGTGGTGGCATGGTGGTGCTTGAGAATCGTAAATGACGACGGTGGTAGAAGACGGCGTGGTGAAACCCTAGCAGCAGAGATTAGAGAGAGTGAGAGACTGTGAAACTGAAATGAAATAGAAAATCAGTAATAGGCGGTCGGTTTTGGATTTCGATGGACCCAAACAACTTATCCGAAACCGACCGATACAATCCATATGTATCCATTTCTTGCAAAACTGATTATCTGATAACCCGTTTAACCCGAACCGCTTACTACCGGGCCGCTTGGGTAGGTCGGATTGGAACGGTTTCTTTATTTCTGTCCAGCCTTAATACACATATAGATGTCGAAGCACTTAGGAAATAAATTGATAATATAAAAATATGATTTCGGTATCACTGTAGCATATACGTTAAATTGGAAATTACAAGTTGTAGGCACTGTATGTGAGTTACGTTGAAAAACCAGTACCAAGTATTTTAAGTTACTTGTATATAATAAAAATAATAATAATTTAGTATTATTAATAAATAATATTGTAGAAGTTTTGTAATTATAAATAAGCATTTAGATAATTAATTAACCGGAAATAGTCGTAGTAGTCCGAATAATTGCATGGTTTATTTGTAGTAAATTTTAGTTGACTCGTTAGATTGTGTTCTTTGTTGAAAAATGTGAATTAGCAGGTGATACTATTGCCTCTATTTATGGGCAGAATATTAAGTTGTGCGCTTATGTCCAATGTTGATTTGTTGTTGCGTTGCTAGGAAATTTTGTTGTTGTTATCCTGACATTCATATTGGGTCGCATACATAACATATCAAGTTAGAGCTAATGCTGAGTAAGTTGGCCTGAATTGATAAATTAAGTTGAAGGCTTATGCCCTGTTGATGCCTCTATTAATTGGCAGATTTCTAAGTTGGGAGGTTTGCTCCATTGGTACCACATCCATGTTGTAATACAGTGGTAGAACTGACTTGGATGTTTTGCGTTCTATTGCAATTATGGCGGATAGCAAGAGTCTCCACCGACTTTTCTTTTATCTAATAAAGGAAAGGGTGAAAAGAACATGAAAGACCTTTTGATAATTTTCTTGAGTTTGGGGGGTAGGTTATGAAAAGGGAAGGTGTTAGGACCTTTTTCATCTGTAGTTATCTACAGGCTCTTAATTGCTAGCTTACTTTGAAATGCTTTTTGTTTGTGTATGTTTGAAAATATTTTGAAAACGCCTAAGTTTGGAAAACTTTGCAATGATTCACGTATCGTTGAGAATGTATACAAAGTGTTGGTTTTGAAATTATTTGTTGAAAGGATTGTTTGGAAAGATGTTTTGAAAGTGCCAATGCAAGATAATTTTATAATGATTCTCGTATCATTGAGATTTCATATAAAATGTTTGTTTTGAAAGTGTGAGGTGTCAAAGGTTGTGTTTATGAGCAAAAAATTACGAGCAATCTACATACTCAAAAAGTATTTGTTATTTTCCTCCTCCTTTAGATAATTTTTATCTACCATTGATTGATAGAGAGCCTTATCATTGGATATGAGGGACAGGCGTGGGTCATCGTACAGTCATAGAAGGCAACTTGTAAAATATTTTTAGCAATTTTCGTAAGGGACTAAGATTGTTTATCGAAGGCAACATTGAAGGGTCATCTAGGGACTACAATCTTTTAATCGAGGGTCTTTGCTAAAACATCTCACGTTCAACATCCCCATTTTTGAATTTTGGAACCTCCTCATTTCTCAACCATTTGCAAAAGTATAAACATGAAACTTGCTCCATTTTTCAATACTTATTCAACCATGTAAACAACTTAAAGTATAAATAAAAGATGAACATTAATTTTTGTTGGTACCAAATAAATCCTAATTTTTTCAGAAATTTCAAACTCAAAATTTGTATCACTCAGGCATCATAAATGATAACTAAGGGTATGGTTAGCTTTAGGGCTATGATGACTATATTTTTTATTCACAAAGTAATCATTAATGATGCTTGTAGAGAGAGTTCAAAGTTGAGAAAACTTACCTAAAAAATGGAAATCCTGTATGGAGTTTGAGCACTTCTAGAGGTGTGGTGATGATCTGAATAGCTTCACTGGACTCCAAGGATGCTAATTCAACTCTTATCTTATGCTAAAAGTGGATGAATCGTGCTAGAGAAGCCAATGGGTAGAGCTCTGTTTTTGTGTTTGGAAGATGAGGAAGATGAGGTTACAATTGTGAAACAGGTGTGGGGATGAGTTATTTATGATGTATAGATGCTTTGTGATTGATTTGGGGAGGAAACGCACGAGTAGATTGTGAAAAATAAGTTCAAGATCATAATTGACAAGCTATGGAAGTTTTGATGCAATTATGAGTTTGAAGGAGTTTCAGGTTGTTTCAAGGCTTGTATATTCGTGTGTTAGGTTGCAAATAACCTCTCTATTTATAGGCAAGGGGTTTGGAAGCTTAAAGGGATCAGAAATAAAATATCACATGTTATGGTACAAGGGCTTATAGGGTGGATAAAGGCTTTAAACATGTTGCTTCTGAGCATACATGTTAAGCGTGATCAGAACAAACAAGTTAGAGGCTTAAGACAAGTTGACTTTGTGATTAAAGTCACTTTTCAAAAATGGAAGTGTGAACTTTCTTCCCTAAATAGCATGATCACTTGGACAAAGGCTCAAGCTCTTGGATCGTAGCTCAATTAGTTGTGTAAATATCTGATTATGGATAGATTTACAAGTCAAGAGTTCTGCAAAGCAATATTATGCAGCATAGTTGTGAGATTGGATCATGTGTTCGTCAAGAACATGACTTGTCATTCAAGAATGGATGCCCAACTGCTTCTCTTTGATTCTCCTAGCTCAAGTGTGATATCTTAAAGTTCTTAGACATTTTGGAAAGCTTGAAATATTGTCTACAACCTTCATGTTGACAATTTTGGCTAAATTATCTTGGAACTAGGTGAAAATTGGTCAAGAAGTTAGATCTAAAATCTTCCTAAACTAGTTGAAAATTTCACTAAGTGTTTTATGAAAAATTTCATGACTTCATGAGCCTATATCTTCAAATCTAAGCATTTTTTGGACATCAACCCTATAAAACCAAGTTGTAGAGTTCATCAAGATCTACAGTTTTCATGTTGAAAGTTTTCCTTGAATCATCTTGCATCTTTGTGAAAAATTTTCATGAAGTATTGAAATTGTCAAGGTTAAAAATACTTAGAAATTTTCTAAGTATTGAAAACTTTGACTTTTTTGTGGACTCTCTGGACTTTGTTGATTCTTGATGATCAAATTTGATATTTTTGAGTATCTTGATGAATCTTGACCTTTGAAATTCAATGTTAACCAAAAAGTCAAAGTTTGACTTTTTGTGTATTAGTTACTTTTCATCAGTTGATCAAATTTCAATTATCAATTCAATGATCTTGAGAAGTGATTTGAGCCATGAAATTAGGTAAACGTATTGTTTTTGAATCATTAAGTTCATGCTTTAATCCATTAGGTCATGTACTAGGTCAAAAGTCAATGATCAGTCATTCTCAGTCAAAACCCTAATTTTGACCATATTGCCCCTTTGATGATTTGAATGTTTTTTCTTGAGGAATTATGATCAAACCTTGATCAATTGATAAATACGACTTAAATATGTGATGTTGGCCAAAAATCTTGAAGTTTGACTGTAGTTTGACCATAATTGACTTTTTACCTAATATAGTTGATTTTCAGTCATCTGAGCAATTGATTGGGAAATTTTGAGATGCAAGACTTAAAACTTGGCATGAGAATTATTGGAAGTCTATAATGAACCATGAAAGTCATTTGAGGTATTAGAAGTCCAAATTTCCTTGTGAAAACCAAAACCCTAATTTGTGGTCTTAGTGATTAAGAGGTGAGCTTGTCTGATCAAGTCTTGAGAAAATCCTTGAGCATTTGAGATCCTTTGTGAGAAATGTCTTGAGAAAATAGAGGAAAATTTTTACGTACAACAGCTTCCCCTGTTCAATCTTCTTAAACCAGAAGAGTTAGATTGGCATGTTCGTCATTCGTGACTTGAAGGTAGAAGATGATTGAACACTTAAGTGCCCAGAAATTTGTCCATGAAGTGAACAGTTTGTTGATTATCAAGAATGGGCTTAAAGATTCCATTTGGAGTGATGATGGAGAGTTGTCGGAGATGGGCTTATAGATTCCATCCAAAGATGATTGTTGATAGAATTTAGACTAAGTCTAAGCTTGAATTCAAATTGGAAGAAGCATCAGAATAAATCTTGAGTCGATTTAAACTGAACCAGGAGATGTCTGTGTTTGTCTTTGACTGGATAAGAATCAGAATAAATCTAAACCAGAAAAAGTGTCTACCGGAAAAGAGTTAGAACAAATCTTTAGGCGATTTAAGATGAACCAGCAGATGTCTTGTATTTGTCTTTAACTGGATAAGAATTAGAAAAAAATTGAACAAGAAAAAGTGTCTACCAGAAAAGAATCAGAATAAATCTTTAGGAGATTTAAGATGAACCATCAGATGTCTTGTATTTGTATTTAACTGGATA